TGATAATTAGCTGGATCTTAAGAGGTGTATTAGATATGAAACTTTAACTCATAATAGGTGGTAAGAATTCTAAAATAACACGTTAATCCATTTCTCCATCTTGTGTTAGAGCTAAAGAATATCTGGCAAGATCATTGATAATTGGGGAGGGTATAGGTATAGCATTGTGTTTCAGGAAGATTTGTTTCAGGCATGACTGTAAAATTTGTTTGACCTTTTCATTGTACATATTTCTGAAATGCGAGAGCATTATGTATCTGTTGTCAGTTGAGTTATACATTATACACTATGCATATCCTACTGGATTTCCAGTTGCCATCCAAGGAAAGGTTCGAAATTCGAAATTAAACAAATTTTCTTAATATTGCCAGTTGCATCAATGTATAATCGGAAACTTGTAAACAGAGCGATTAAAAAATAAATTTATAAAAAAAGAAGTAAAATTAAAAGCTTTCAGATTTTATATTACGCCTAAAGGGGAGTTTTTTATTTACATACACATACACGTTTCGAGAGCATTTTGACTAATGTTCCTTTGGGCTAAAAATATTTGAAAACAGCCTATCTTTCGAATTTCCGATAGACAGTCTCGGACACTGGAGATGATTTTTTTTTCTTGTACAGTGTTGCCATTACTCACTTTAAAAATCGTTGAGGTTTCTAATCACAAATTCGTAAAAGTTTTACAAAATATGAAATACACAATAAAACAATTTCGAAATTCAAATTTCTGGCTTCCAGGTGTCCATATTCGAGAAGAGATATCCGTTATTCAAAATCTGATGGCTCTAGATACCGCTGTTTTTTTTTTCAAAATGCGAAAAAGATGCATATTGCATGCGGATTCTTCATTATTTAATTTCTTTAAATACAATAAAGTGGTAATTTTTGGTGACACGAATTTGAAAAGTGATTCAGACTTTTATAGTGATCAATGCATAATCCCGTTTTGAGACTAATAGCCTTTTGGGCTAACGCTCGTTTGGGCTCTTAATCTACTCACTGAATGAAAAAATCATGATAAAATATCTGAAATAAATTTTAAAGAATAATAAGAATTTTGTTCTCTGGATAACAATTACATATACATGTCCGCGACCCCAAATCTAAAATATTCAATAAATATCCTAAAGAAGTGCGTTAGTTAGAATCTGGATGCATCCCGGCCCGTCTAGTGAGTGTAAATTCACTTTATAGCCAGAAATGGGCCGAACAAAATAGGTATATATATATATATATATATTTCTAAACTATATTCTTACTATATTTCTAAAGTTTTGGTTACATAAATATATATAGTCAAACTTAAAATTTATGAATTAAAAGACATAGATTCTATTGTATCCTGGTTACTCTATATACAGTGCTGCTCGTCACACCAGTCACGTTTGCGTATCTCATGCAGAACGTGCTCGGCACGTTTGCGTATTTTACGCAGAAAACTGACTGTTAATCTAGATTTAGAGCATGTTTATATGGTGTGCATACAAGATTATATTGATAAGAATCAAGCCGAATTAGTTTGTTATGCTTACGTCCGAAGATTTTAAACATTACTCTCTATCTCATCATGCATTTTTCAAGCAAAAAAACAAATGACAACAAAATGGAGAAACAAAATGACAGATACTATTCGATGCACATTCTGACACACAAAGAAATCCTTCTTTAAATGAAACCCTTCAACAAGGTCTCAATTTTCTTCCAGATATTTTGCCTACGTTACTATGATTTCGACTTCACAAACGAGCAGTCACATGTGATGGAAATCAAGCTTTATTGCAGTTGACCTTATCTGAGGAAAACAGACGCAATTCGATTTTTATGGTTTAAAACAGAACAGGACGCTGACGGCAAAATAGCTCTCAAAGAAGATATTCTTTCTTATATGTTTTTACTTTTACCTTTTGGATAAACTTCAAGCCGCTTTTGCTGTCTGCTACTCTACGCGAATTGGCTGCTATGCGTTTAGACGCTTATCCTATAGCAGCAAAGCAGCTTAAAAAGAACATATTTATGTATGATTTCATAATGGGAGTTCATTCTAAAGACAAGACCACGACGTTTTACCACGAAGTGCAAAAAAAGTGAAGTTAATATCACTTGTTAATTTGCCATTTACGAAGTGGAGCACGAATTCACAAATACTTAAAATTATATGAAAACAAAAAGTTGTTGAATTCAAAACTGTGGCACAAGTTTTAGTTATCAACTGGAATACCGTAGAAGACACATTTTATCAAGATGTACAAAATATCGTTTATAACTTGATAGAAAAGCCCACAACGAAACGTTTAATTTTGAGAACAGTTTCTAAATTTTACAATCCGCTATGATTTCTTGCCCCAGCAGCAGTTGTAGGAAATATTCGAAAATTCCCTTTCAGGATTCCTGGCTTTGCGGATTGCTATTGGATGAGATTCTCCCTCTTCTGGCTATTGCTGCACGATGGTACAGATGGATCACTGAGCTATCACTTTTATACACCATTCTAGTATAGACTGTAATTTCATCTTCTTCTCTGGTAAATAGTCATTTATTTAACGATTCTTTCGAACGAGCATATGGAGCAGTGCTGCGCGCGTACATTTACGAAACAAAATGTTACAAAGGTTCTATGTAAGCAGTTGTAACAAACTTCTCCTCTCTAAAACGTAATCCTTCCTCAACTAGAGCTATTGGCAATTGTGATCGGAGTTCGTTTGCTCCATTACTTCTGTTAGAATGGATTAGACCATACAGTAACGCTTTGGAGTGACTCCACGGTAGCTCTAAGTTGGATTCGAGAGGATTCCAGCCGTTGGGAAACGTTTATCTGCAATCGAATTACAGAAATCCAGAAATATACTTCTCTAGCACAGTGGCGTACATTGACTAGGTAATGATAATTCAGCAAACCATCTTTTACGTGATATTTCATCAGCAGAGCTCTCAACTTTAGCATTGTGGTGGGAAGGACGACCGTAGCTATATGAGCCACCATCCATCGGACAAGGAAAACAGAATTCCAATCTCCGTGTACGACTACGTTTAATACTGTCATAGATGTTACTCGATTCAATGATTATATCAAACTAATTGGTATGACAGCCTAGGCATTATGTTTCATTTACAACTGTAAATCGCAATAAAGTCCATCCTTTGATCGCTCTGCAACTGAGCTAAAAAAGGTAAAAGAATATTGGATATATTGTGTGCAGAAAGAATGTTACTCAACTGAAACAGAAGCTCTAGAAAAAACTGTATTATTATTTACAAATCCAAAACTGGTCGTTTCAAACTGTTCCTGAAAGACAATCTTTTACGGTTTTTTCCGCAACAGTTGTTGACATGGTTATGAGTCATGGTTTGGGCTGACGGAATGGCTTGAAATGTCTATTGTTAAATATCAGACTATAATTAAAAGATGTAGCAAATATATTTATGTTCTATTTGTGTCGCTTATATCAGCAAAATCTCATGCGGCTAGAGATTTTGAACATCATTATATATATGAATAGATCCGTAAATCAGTAAATAGCCGGTAAGAAATTCGATGGTCAACCTGCAACTCAAAGGAATTTTCATCGTGGAAGAAAATTAAATTTTTAAAATCCATATACAAATTTTTCCATATACAAATAAATTACGAAAAAAATTAAAATTACGAAATTGTTAAAGATCTTAGAAGCAAGTATTACTGGTACGATGCAGTTAGACCACTTAGATAGGAAAACTAACCGAGCGAGGATTTCATGCTCGGAAAAAATGTATTTACACAGTATGTAGTATGTTTTTAACATTCAGTCTTCTTTGAATCTTACTCCGGGTTCTATTACAGCTACTCATAAAATCATTTTGAAAACCCTGTATGTTCTGAATACTTCTATATCATCTTAACGGCAATACTATGATCATATGATGTGAACTAAATAGCTTTATGAAATGCTTATTTTTAATTTCATTTTCGGTATTTTAACAGCAGATACAAAAACTTATCTATAATCAAATAGTGTTACTATGGTAACACCTACAACAAATATCCAGTTCAATTGCAGTTTATATTCCGCCTTTTGCAATAAAAATCTTTACGTTTTTCGTAAACAATATATATAACTCATACGTATAACGAGATGTGAGCTCATTTAACAATATAACTGGGTACCTCACAGAGAGATTTTATTTCATCCAGGAAGGCACGGGTACAGTTAAACTGGAAGAACATTCTTTCCAAAAGCAATTACACTAACAAGCCATTTCTATTCTTTCGTAAAGGTCATATTCGAATACACAGTTCAAGTACGTGCTTATTTACCGGGCTGGCAATAACTTCAATTCTTTTGCGATGATTATATCTAAAGGAACATTTTTATCATGAAGATATGACTGAAATATCCATTCATCTTATTAAAGAGATAAAAATATCTATATAGTATTTTACAATTAAAAGCCACAAAAAGTTTTTCTGAGTTGTTATTTTAAATGCACTTGTAAAGGCACTAAGAGAAAGTTACGCAAATGAGATATTTTTATAATTATTTTCTATAGAAAAGATTAGGACTTCGATTTACAGCTAGATATTTTCAGATTACTTTTTAATGACCATTTTATTTTCGCTTAAATCAGAACAACATTTTAATTAATTGTTGATGGGATAATTAATACATTTTAAAGTTCTTTTCCTTGAACGTTTTTCTCTCGAAAGAGTCTACTTTCAAAGCATTTTCACGCAGTATTTTTTCGTGAAACTAATTTTATTTCCTTTATTGTTATAATATGTGTCATTAATAGCTCATGTTTTACTACATAAAGAAAACTGATTAACTAATTTTTGAAAACTAATGTGGATCGTCGGTATTTCTTAGTACCAAAGCAAATTTTTCACTAATTCGATTTTAAAGTTCGAATACAGATTACCTAATTTTGACGTCATCGTGACGTTATCTGAATGAGAAATGAGCATAGACTTTGTTATTAAAACAACATAAAAGGCATAATATTTTAATTTTATAAAACGACTTATAATGATGAACATACATGATTTTTTTCTAGTGTTTCCATTATTAGAAACGTTCAAAATAGGATGAATACGCTAATACTCGCACATGTCATGAATACATTTGAAGCTATGATTATTATCTATAATCATTGCATACCACGGATGACAAAAATTTGAATTAATGCAATTCAGTTTTTACCTAATTTCCAATTTATATCTACTATACCATTTTTCTTTCTTTGTAAAGAGAAGATATCTTATCAAATAGGAAACAATCTTCGTAAATGATCTTTGCCTCTGGAAAATATGTGATGGTAAGCATATGCAATCTAATAAAAGCTCAAGCTTGTTTTTTTTAATGAATTTTTATGTTTTGGACAATACTGATACACAAAAGCCAATTTCCGATCATTCATTGTACATGCGCTCAAACTATTAGGAAATTTAGATTTTAAAATGATAAAAAAAAATCCACTCAACACTAGCACTGCTAGAAACAATCATTAACCCTAGGACTTAGTCTCATAGTGTTTAAATATTGTTTTCGCGGAATCCATATACTGTTTTCAAATCTTAACCAAGACTGAGGCCCACAGTCAAACCGCACTTATTTATCTAGATCCTTAAAATTGATTTTTTAGTCTCATATTATTGAATTGCACAAAAGTTATAATTTAATGCATCGACTTGTACAAGAATCTCAAATGTGGGAAAAATACACTTCATTTAAAAACTCAAACAAAGTTTCAAGTTTGCAGTCTTGTGGGGGTAAGTCCTGAAAGCGCCTATTGATCCTCTAAGCCGAGAAGTGTATCAGTAAAGAGATCGCTAGAAAGCGGGAGGGACGGTGCTAAAGAAGGCAGTTATGAGAACCGCTGGCCAATTCATAATAACAATGGAAAATGAAAAATATACATGACGTCCAAACACCAATAAAAATGTTTTCTCATTTTTATTACAAATGTTTTGCTGTAACTGAACAGTTTTTTTTCAATGCCGAATAGTCCCAGGCCCATTAGCGGTCGAGCGGTAAAATCATTTAACTTTGGTATTTTGAACCACAGGTCAAATCCCGTCGAAGGCCTGGCTGCATAAAAGTTTTCCTGCACTTTCCCGTATGTAAGTAAATACGAATCAGTTTGCTTCTTCCTGCAACGAAACAAGAAAATTCCAGATTTCATTGAAAAAAAAATTGGGAAACATAACCTAAAATTTTTATTTAGAATCAAAAGAAGCTCGATTGTTTACCACAAGAAACATTTTTAAAAGAAACTATAACAAAACAGCTTTCATCACACAAGTAGAAAAAAGAATTTAATCAGTATAGTTTCAGGAGAAGATAAAGTTATCCGTGTAAATAGTACTTTACATAAAAAGTTAAAAAAATATGAATAGAAATTGCTATTTAACTTAACTTGGATAAGAAAATTTCCAAGTGCCGTATTTGTAATATAAATTATTTCATTGGTGTTACCTCCCTTTTGAGAATATAATGTAGATAAAAATTTAAATGGTAATTCCACCAGTATATTCTTTCAATTCTGGCGCATATTAGCGTCGTAACGCAGAGCATATATATTGCTGTCATAACACAGAAGTGAACTATGCGTCTGAAATAACGTTTCTGCAACAGCCTTCGTATACAATGAAATGGGAGAACGCAAAATAAAATTTAATGAAATAAGCAGAATAGATTGAATTCTTAAGAGGAGTAATGTAAAAATTAATTCTGCTTTTTGTTTTTCTTGCGTTTTTCTAAAATTCAATTAGATCTTTTTGTATGAAATGAAGCGGGAAATTTAGGGGAACGGAAATTTAAATAAGCATTTGCAATCTCATTCGATATAAAAAAAAATTAATCAGTTGTTTATATTGCATATACGATAAGTTTTTTATGAATCTAACATATCAATTCAAACAAATTCTGCAGTATTGCTTAAACGTCAAAATGCTATTTATGAAATAATTTTTTAAAAGACAAAACGCAGAGGAATTTATACGAATAATAAGTGTTGTAGTATTACGCAGATTAAACAGGTAATATATATATATCACATAATTATTTATTATCGTTTGATATTAGAGATTTATATTAAAACTAATACTATATATATACAGACTGCTTAGATTAGATACAGATTATACATAAATTAGTTATCTTTATGACTATATAAATCCAAATTGTATAGAAAATAGATTCATTGCAAAATAGACTAGATATTAACATTATAGGCGTAGAGTATAGGTATACAGCTTAAATGGGTTTCATATATATATGAAAGTTATTAGTGTCTCTCTATATATATTAAGGTGTATTAAGGTGTTTCATTTTGTAAGGCAAAAAGTAAATATATCAATTTTTTTCAGACTTTACTTACTCCCCGAATCTAATTAACGTATATATGCCAAATTTCAAGAAGGGTGGAAAATATTTAGAGGTTGCACACTTTGATCAGTTTTGTAAAAATAAGCAAAAATACGATTTTTCAGTGTTAATTACTTTTATTGGGAAAACTAGAAGTCACAAGCTTAAAATGATGTTAATACTAGACACTAAGATTGCTAGGTAGTGTGGTAGACAAAACATTTGTTATATTAATTGACTTTAAACGATGCAAACTTTTCTTTAATTCGCTTGGCGAAAACGTTTCTGTGATGCTTGACTACCCTCAACAAGAATTGTTTTTATTGTATGTCCCTGACCGATTCGTTATACTTTTTATCATACGTATAAGTTCCTTTTTTTGCGGTATGATTGACCACATTAAAAGCATTTAGATGGCTTCTTGGAGAATCACTGCAATATTCTTGTCTCTGTCGTAGATCCCAAACAATTCAAAGAACGTCTTCGTTTTATTAATAACGGAATGGCTTAGTCAGACCTTTTCCTTTAAAAACTAATAACTTTAACTTCTGTTTCCTTTTTCTTTGCAGGTTTGGTTTCTAAATTTTTAGTCATATTTTCCTTATCAGCCTGAGCTATACATCTATCCAAAAAGGCCAATCCTACGTTTGTTTCTGACAGATCCGAAAGGTATCTTTTAGCAAATGTGAGAGCACGTTTTTTGACGTTTACATTTGGATAAGTACTCAAAAGCTGTAGCATATCCAAATCATTCTTTTGAAGCAATCGACATATAGTTGCCTCTGTCAAAAGCGAACATATATGAGGCTGACAAAATGTACAACCTGTTTCATTCCTTTCAGTTCTCGTTAAGGAATATTCAACTGTTTGGTGAAAAGAAGAGTTTTAAGTGCATATATTGCCTTTACCATTCACCATGTTTGATGCAGAGATTCTGAAACTGAAGTCGTTTTGAAATCAACCTCCTAGGTACACGAGTGAGAGTCGCAATAACTCTTTGCAGTCTTCTGTCAGATGACTACTGTCTTTTAGGACATTGTATGGACATTTTGACGCCTTGTTCTTCTCGAAAGCCTTGAACTGGACCTTCTTAATCCAGCACTGTCGTATATGACTTCTTATCAAGTGAAGCCCACAGACTTTGGAACTTCTAAAAATTCTGAATGTCAGTACCACTTTGAAGGGAGCTAAACTCCTAAAAACTAATCACTAGACATCTTTTGCACCAGTCAAATCCCTATTTTCCATTCTAAAGTTTAGTTACCTGCATAATATGAAAGGAACACAGAAGAAGCCCATTAACACAAAGCACTTCAATATTAGAAATTTCACTGGTTTGCGATAGAAGTGATCAATGTGTGTAACCCCTAAATATTGTCCAATATTCTAAACATATCTTTTATATTACTGGGGACTAAGCAAAGTCATATGAAAATCATATCTGGAATCCGATAAATGCTTTTCGAAACTTAGCCCTATATACAAGGGACTAATACAAAGAACTAATCGATTTGGAGTCACTTCACAATGAATATTCATAGCAATAATATTGTGTTGGCTAAGCGAGTCTTCCACGAGTTTTCTGTGCGTTTAATTTCTTTGTGTGATTTAATTGTGTAGCTAGTAATTGTTCATTAATAATAGTAATAATAAATAGCACAAAATAGTGCTATCTGAAAATAATTTTTTGCACACTAGTCTGGCAAACCACCATATACTAATTCCCTTTTGCTGCACACTGAAGTAGAAATTTGCTTTAGAAAACGCACTGACATATTTGACGATACTGCATGCCTAGGTAATATCATTTTTCAGTGGACCACTAACTCTGTATTGACAACAGTTTAAAATAAGAAACACTGGGCCTGTAATATATATACTCCGCAAACGAATGAAGGAAATGAATGATATTTATCATTGGTGAGGAAGTATGCCACAATTTTTAATGAAATCACCGAAGTGCCTTATTTTAAGCGGAAATTTATGTATTGATTGGAGTGTATAAAAATGTAGATGATGACAGCATTCGTCTTACACAAACCTTCTTAGTAAAGAGTAACATCAAGGTACAAGAAAAAAATACAAAGAAAATGTTCAGACTCATCTCGAAGCTTTTAAAGATTCGTTTAAACATTATTTTCTCACAGTTCTAAGGAATGTGCTTGAATGATTTTAAATGGGTTTTAAATTAATCCGCCTGAATAAAAACGTATACATCTTAAGTGAGTACGGTGTTCTCATAGATCTGACATGTCACAGCGAACTAAAAATTTCGTTTCAAAACGAAACTTTACCGAAGTTTGGGTTGCATACACGATGAATTCAAAATGTCGTCTAAAGCAAAATTAGTGATGCGGTCTTTCGCATCTACACATACCTATAAATCCGGATTCTCCCCTATATAAATACCAAAACAATGTATAGAATCTGTGCAATAAATATTTCAAATAAAAAATAATGAAAAGATGTATTTGAATTGAATTACATTTAATGATTAACTTGCAGGAACTGGGTTTATTGAACAGACCATGAGTTAATTTTCAGCATAATGTAAAATATCTGCTGTAAAACAAATTGGTTTGATTTATCAAACTCTGGAAGTACCTTTATGTATGGATAGTTTTTGAAAACATCCCGTAGTTGAGTAAATTGACATATTAAATATAATTTCAGTTCATGCATTGCACAACTCTTTAGATAACTCCTTATTTTATATTCTCTTGTTATTATAAATTTTTTTCTGTACTGTAACACTACTCTTAAACACCATTTGCTTGCAAGAAATAAAGGAGCTGCGCTAAAGGAGTTGATTCTGAAAAGGGCAAAATGTTTGGGCACCGCTGATTTACATATTTCAGATTATTATAGATAACATATTATTTATTATATTATAGATTACATAATTCCGCCATTAAATGCTTATGAATAGTTGGAACTGAAAACTTTTCTGCCATTCAGATAAGTTTTTTATTGCTGTAACTGAAACTTTTTTTAACAAAATAATCGTACATTTATGCAGAAATAAGTCCATAGAATTCCCAAACTACATTTTACATGAGAAAAAGAAAATAAACTCAAATTTCTTGACCAGAAAAATATGCAAATGTTCTGTAATTATTTTATTACAGTTCTCCTTTGTCTTCAATTTTTTTAATTCCTGGTAGCATGGGAAAAAATTACGCTCGTGAATGAGACCTTTTTTTGTTACTAATTGCGCAACCTTCTTAAGTGTTTGTGCTAATCTCTGGTGTTTTGTAATTAAAGTTGTTGTTTTCCTTTTTAAGGGGATGCTAATTGTCAGCAACATCCAGATTAATGCGTGGAAACGGATCAGCTGAAAGAAAAATAGTAAAAATAATTCTGGAAAAAGAATTGACGAAAAAATACATTCCTTTAAATGTTCTTGAAAAAAAAATTTTCCAGCCTTTTTTATTACTTTTTTGTTGAACTACCCTTTTTTTAAGGACGGGTTTCAGTCGATCGAAATGAATGGTATAACTTGGAAATTTTTCATCAACATGTATAACAGAGAAAATGTTACATCCATAAATTTTGATTCATTTGTACTCCGTTCATTTGTTTTGAGATTTGGAAATTTATATGATAAAAGTTTGTTGTCTTTTTTTTTCATCATTTTGCTGTGTTAAGGGCATTAATACTATTTTTACAATAAAAAAAGACAAATTTGAATTTAAATCATTACATTTTAAGAAGCCAAAAAAATAAAAACATGAAGGTGAAATAAAACTATCCATTACCAAAATTTTCTTTTTTTAACGGAGTGATACTGAACGTTTTATCATCCCAGGCAATCGTCTATTTATATAATTAAGAATATTAAGTTCTCTAAAGTGTCTTCATTTGACCATAGTTGGCCAAAAATGTTTATGATGTTCATTTTCAGTATGCCCGAAATTGGTTATGATGTTTATTTTCAATAACATCACGCAGATTTCTAAAAACGTTCCAGAGAGCTATAATGAACTGAAGCACGCAAGCAACTTCTAGCCTATACGTAGTAGTTCAGATATATTTATCTAACCAAAAATGTAGTTTATCTATCCAGGCGTATTATTTTTTATTTATGTAATTTATTTATGTAGTAAATCTATTAGATTAAAATGACGTGTAGTATATTTATTTAACCTATCTAACTCGAGTGCATCATGATAAAAGCATAGATCCAAATATATTTATATACGTGATTCAGTTTTAATTTGTCTGTGGTGTTACTTGATGCGCTCGATCCGTTGGAAGTAAATTTTCAGAATATACACAAATGGCAAAAGATAACTACTATCCAAGACTTTTTAAAACAGCTAAGGAAAACTGCAGCAAAATTTATTAATCTAAAGTGTTATAAAAACAAAGCTACTATAATTCAATAAAAATTTGATAAAGTAACACAAACTACTGATACAAATCTCAGTCAGTATCAAATGTTAACATAAACATTTTGTAAATTTTAAAATAAAGTTACAAAATTTGTTCGTTACATCTTTTTTTCAAAAGAGCTGATATGGTAGAGGCCAATTGTAATATATGAGGTACTGTACTTCTAAGTCATGAAAAGATAAAAATACATCTGTATGTAAGAGAAGCATGCTAATGTAAAAATGTAAAATTAGGCAAAAGAAAAACAGCTTACCTTAGATAAAACTTTAATTAAAATTCTATTGTTATATTTCCGCTCCTTTAAGATCAAAATAAATTCTCCTAAATTTTTTAACTATTAATTTACTAAAATGTTTTAACTGTCATTTCGCTCTAGAACAAAAAGACTTACGTTAGTCCCGTCGAAAGGAGTATAGTTTTTATTTAATGTCTTGCGCAGTCTAGAAGTGTCCTTTCTTCTTGATTTTACACGATAAATAAATAAATAAGAAACAAACTGGTATATTATAAAGGATATACTTTATTAAATTACATACATACAAAGATATGTCAAATCGGATCCTGGTTCAGTCATGTTTGGATCATGGACTCAGATCTTCAGAAGAGCCCAGGCCTTAACTGCTAGAGATTGAACAATGGCCCATGAATCTTTTGAGGACTACCTCCATCTTCAAGACATCTAGCTGAGATGTGTTTCTTTTAATAAAGAAAGATTGGGTAAGATGCATCATTTCAGGTTAAACAATTAAAGACTTAAAGTGACTCTGATCATATTTTCAAAATTATGAATTTCATTCTTAGGGATGCGCTATTTCAAACAGGATGCCTCTGCAGCTTAGTGGTCTTGGACTCAGACCACAACTGCAAAGCTTTGTAATGATGTCATTCAATAACATTTAAATTTTGTTCACTCATTTCAACAGTGACAAACTAAAAAAATAAATAAATAGTTAAGGTTAAATAGTGAAGGCTGTAAATTGTATGGAATAATTTTTATAAAACAGGAAACAGCCGCTTTTGGCACGTCGAATGAAGTTTTCTGTTCTCTCTCCCTCTTTCTCGATTGTCTCTCTATCCTTTATCCTTATATATATGTGTGTGTGTGTGTGTGTATTTATATCTGTCCATAATTTATATTCGAAAATAAAATTGACTGAATAATTAAATGGTAGTGAAGCGCAATTAGGTTTTTGCATTTGTAAAAATCAGCTTAAAGAAGTTTAAGTAGAAAGGAGAATTAGTAATGGAATTATTCTTAAATGAATTAGTAATGGGATTCTCATGAATTACAAAATTGCTCACAAACAAAATCTAAAATCTCTAAGATGTGCTTAAACTTGTTAGCGCTTCGGTCTACAAACAGGCTGAATTAATTCTAATTAACTTGAGGTCACAACTGCCTGTGATTCTTGGCAAAAATGAAAACTTCTGTTTTGATTTTCTTCTTAAGCTATTTTCTTTATTGCAGCGTTTATTTACACAGATTTCAAATATCACGAAATAGAAAATTAATAAAAACATAAAAATGCGATAAATGCCCACAAATCAAGCTCCACAAAAACCACTCGATAAGTAAACATAAAACTAGAATAAACGAAAATGTACAAAATAAACAACAAATAAAAAAAACAAATGCGGAACAATATTAAACATACAAAACTCAATACAAAATAAAAATATAAGCAAATTAGACGTATATTTACACACTTACAACACGCTGTATAGGGTCGTCCAAATGTTTGTAAAAAATGTAACCAATTTATTAAAATAGAATGAATGTTTGTAACAAATTGTGACTTACATGGAAATAATATGGCAGATCGAATATCTTCTTTGTGTCGGGAGATAGAGTTTCTACGAAATTTATACGGGCAAAAATCACTATACCAGTTTTGGAGTAAAAATAACACTGACTACTTTCTTCCGCTGGGATATATAATAAAAAAATAATTACCTATGGACATAAGGAGCTTCTCTGATTGAAATAACTGTTCTTAATATAACTTTGTGTGAGTGTTTCTGTGGATGCAATATAAATCTTCCTCTCGGGCAAATATAAGTAAAAGCTTTTCTTTACAAAAAAAAAATAAATAAATAATAAAAATAAAAAAAAAAAAAAATTACCTTCACTTGCAAATTACCTCACCATTTTAAAGAAACAGATTTCCATTATTTACATCTGTCTACTCAATTTTATAATTCTTTTATAATTTCTTCTAGTGTGTGTGTGTGTGTGTGATTATGGCAAAGCCTCGAGGGCTATCTGCCTAAGGGGAGGGAAGCCTCCGTGGAGGACTTTCTAAGGGAAACTGGCTCGTATACACGTTACACATGGGGAAAACCACGAAAACGCCCATGCAGCCAGCCCGTTCGCGGGATTCGAACCTCAGACCGAACTACCAGTGTTCGGCGACTTTACCGCTCGGCCGCTGGTGGGCTAATTTCTTCTAGAACGCTGTTTTGGCACATATGTATACTCTACACACATACACACAATCAACATATATATATACATATAAATGTATATGGTGTGGTATGATATGTATATGTATATGATAGATACACATTAATGAACATTGACTGTATATATATATACAGTAAACCCTTGCCGAACGCGAAGTTGAAGAACGTGATTTTATATATTATCTTAATTGTTTCTATGTAATTTCTCCAACTAGAAAATTTAATGTATACGCGGTAAGCTGTAGAATGTTGGCCATGTTGCGTTGGCTCCTCTTTAACGTTTGGTTTGAAATTTCATTCATTAAGAAGTCAAGTCAAACGTCACTTAAAACAGAAAAACTGAGCTTTAAAGTTCTCCTAATTCTCGATAAATCTCCAGGACAGTGCTAAAGCCCTCACAACATTTCATCGAAATACACAGGTTTAATTGTTTCCATCGAATACCACTTCCTTTATACAACCAATGGGTCAAGGAGTCCTAAAAATATTCAAGTCAATTATTTCATGTATGTCTTAAAAACACCTCTGTAAAACGCGCTAGAAGTAAAGAACGGCACATTAATGGAATTTTAGAAGTAATTAAACACAATACATTCCACAAAAAATGATTAAACTTGCATGCGTAAATCATTAACAATGAATGCTTGCTGGCATCAGCGCTGGCCAGAAATTGTCAGCAGTTTTAAAGGATTTTTATAGGTTGGCAATGAAGCTAAGGAAGTCGTACAAATTGTAAAAGTAATAGGCGGCAAATAATTTTAGAAGGTGAAATTAAAAGAATTGTTTGAGAATGCCGATCGCAAAATGATAAATGAAAAATTGGATAATCTTATAACGCCATTCGACGGTGAAAGCAGTAATAGTGAAGAAGATAAAAGATACTTAGAGTACAAGTTAAACTAATTGTTAAAAAAACATAGTAACTGATTTTGCAGTGGAGATTGACTCAAACAAAGAAACATAGGATGATTTGTGAGAAGTATACAAAACTTCCACACTCCTTGTTATCGCGAAAAGTGTAATGAATTGCATCAGATATTGTTCCAAGCAAAAATCACCAACTATTTAAAAAATAATTATTTCATGTTAAGCAATAACGGGAATCCTTTCAATTAATATTTGTTTTCATTTTTTCCTTTTAACTGCAATAATATTTAAGTTTAAATAAATTATACAAGTTATTTTAACCTGAACTCTACGTAACCAATTTTCCACAGAAAGTTCTTTACGGCACGCAATTTTCCCGTAGTCGCAATGCGTTAATGACTTAACCCCACATTTGAAAAGAGTTTACTGTATATATATAGTGTGTGTGTGTGCCTTTTTATAATGTGTAACGTCTAAATAATATATGTCTGTAAATATGTATCGTCTAGAAAATTCGTAATATTTATTAACCACGAAGAAAATATTAGAGGCAAAGAATAATTAACAAAAACATTGAATGGTAATCGAAATTAGCATTTATAATACTGAAACAATCAATGCATTCTATAATACCCGAACTGCCAAGAATGAAAAATGTTATTTCGTGTGTCCTTTCGGGTCCATATGCAGTCGTGGACCGTACGATTGAAATCCATGCGCTACTATTAAGTTGCTAAGCTCTGAATTTAAGGCAGTTCAGGATCGAATCTCATGTGCATTCTATGGGTGAGAGATTTTGAGATCGTATGAGCGAAGTAGCCATTTCTCATCTCAGAGACACTTCTGAGAAGCTTCGACCACATGAAACTGCGCCTCATCATGCTCATATTAGTATAATACTCCAGCAGCGGCATGAAGCTACGTTATAGAGTACAGTTTCAAGACACCGTTGTGCCATTCTATCTCCCTAATAACGTTCAGTCAATGAGCTATTGAAATTAGTGGCCTCCTTTGCAATGATGCCGATTGCATAGCGAAATTCCGAATGATAACTAGATCACGTTTATCAACATGATTTGCTATCATAAGCACAGAATCAAATAAATACTAAAATAAAAAGGGATTTCAGCTAAAGACAATATGATGTTCCTAGACCTTTCACGGTTTGCTATACCTGGAAGTTTACGTGATGTCTGCGAACTGTAGAACACGTACCAGAGATCAATAAAAACATTTTTAATCAATCTGTCAAATATCTAGTTGATCAGTAATGTACTAAATCAGTAGGAATTTTTCATTAGTCGCTTAAGAATTTTCTCCGTACATCATGCAGGTAACTCATCTTTTCAGTGCAACATGATTTGCCTATATGTGGTATGGACATCTCATTTTCAGAGTTACAGTTCTTGAGTACACCGTATTATTTATTTTAGTTGACTTATAGTTACCCTTTCTAGATGTAGGGGTTTTATTAATTCTTTTTTAAACATCTGCTTTATTCTGATAAATTTTGCTGTATTTGCTACATTTTTCGCTTAGTCAATTTATGAAACTTTTACAATCTTATTATTAAGAACACATAAAAGAGCTTTTAACTTACATTATTGTAATTTGCAAGTTTTAATTTCCATTCGTTTCTTGTTTTAAAATATATTGAAAAATAGACTAGAAGAGAAAGACGCTAATGTGACAATCAAAATCGTAAAAACAACATTGTATTTAGCGTAGGTATAATGAAACACTCAATCGATTTCGAGGGCAGCTAAAGGTCCCTCCTCATCAGGAGAAAGAAATACTTAGAAGGAAGAAAATAAAGGAGTCACAGAAACACGTGGTCTTTATCAGAAAATAAAGGAGTCACAGAAACACGTGGTCCTTATAGCCTGGCTCAGTAAAAGTAGGCGGCCAGTGCAACTCTGATTAAAAATCTAGTTATAACCACGTGCAGTGCTGATAAGGACACGTTTTCTGTGGCCTTATTTTCTTCTTTCTAAGTATTTCTTTCTCCTGATGAGGAGGGACCTTTAGCTGCCCTCGAAATCGATTGTTTCATTATACCTACGCTAAATACAAGGTTGTTTTTACGATTTTGATATTGAAAAATATTCATCCTACAAAGTTCTTTCTTTTAAAATATATTATACTGAGTTGAAATATTGAGTTGAAGCTAAACATTTCTGATGTGTGCTAAATACACAATGTAAAGGTACGTAAAATAAGTTTATTCTTTCGTGCATGTGTCAGAATAGCCAATGTCACAGGGTTGTTTTATGGAAAATAGATGATTACTCATACTAACGTATACATATAAATGCCAACATTATCAGCTGTAATTTTTATTAATGCAGACATTATCAATTATAATA